TGCCCTCTTCACAGTCACCCCAGGTGCCCTCTTCACAGTCACCCCAGGTGCCCTCTTCACAGTCACCCCAGATGCCCTCTTCACAGTCACCCCAGGTGCCCTCTTCACAGTCACCCCAGGTGCCCTCTTCATAGTCACCCCAGGTGCCCTCTTCACAGTCACCCCAGGTGCTCTCTTCACAGTCACCCCATGTGCTCTCTTTATAGTCACACCCCCTCATGTCAGTCCTCACCATTCCACTCCATCACAATGGCCTCCAAGTTGCTGAGTTCTTGATTCTACTTCTCAAGCATCTGACAAGGCTCACTCCCTCTTCTGTGAAGCCGGGCCTCCAGCTTCTGTGGCAGTATACTTACCCAGGTCTCCATTTGTAGTTCTCATAGTCTGTTTGCTCTATAAATACTGAATTTATTCAAAGTTTGGTGCAAGGCCCTTTTCTTGTTGCTGTCCCTCAGAAATCTAATCTATGATTTGAAACAGAATTATTGTATGCTGGTAAAGCTCACATTTGTATCTCTAGCCAGACCTTTCCCCTGAGGTTAAGATCAATATGTCTTAATACATGCTGGCTGTATATCCAGTATGTCTTTTTTGATAAAACAAGCTCAAAATAGCCTGATCTAACTTTGCACCACTGTTTCTGAGCTTAGTCAGTGGCAGGGCAATCCACCTAACTGTGGACTCAAACTTGACATACAAAAGTCACTCCAAATACTGCCCCATCTCCAGAGCTCTGCCTAGGTCAAGTTGGTGTCATCACATCTCTTGAGGACTTCCTAACTGTAGCAGCTTTTACTTCTTCCCCAAGCTACTTTCCAAAATACAGCCAGTGATTTTTTTTTTCAAGTGAAAATCTGATCATGACACTTCTTCCTTTAAAATTCCTTTCTACTGCTCATGATACAGGTACCCCATACCAACCTTCCACAGCTTGTAACTCTTTCCCACCAGCCATACTGCCTTTCTCCGGGCTCCTCAACTGGGCGAGGCCTGCCCCAGCTCAGAGCACCACTAGCCTGGAAAGCCTGTGTTAACTGATCAGTCCCTCCTCATGCTTACTTGCTCAAAGATGACTTCCTAGGGACATAACTGAACCTGGTCACCCAGCACACACTTGCAAAAACCCATCTTCTCAGTAACTATCCCAGAACACTGGTTCTGTACACTAGAACGCAAGCTCAAGAGGACAGGCTGTCTTCCTTTTAAAAATATTTTATTATTTCCATTTTTTTTAATGTGTATGAGTATATTGCCTACATGTAGGTAGGTGCACCTTTGTCGTGCAATGCCTTCAGAGATCAGAAAAGGGCATGAGATCCCCTAAAACTGGAGCTATGGATGGTTGTTAGCTGCCATGCGGGTGCTGGGAATGGAACCTGGGTCCTTTTCAAGGGCAGTCAGTACTCTTAACTATTGAGTCGCTCAGTGACAGGCTTTCTTCTCAACCCTTCCACCTCCAGTATTGAACACATGGCTTTGACTGAAGGAGACTGCCAGGCTCAAAACGTGACAGAAACAATAATTATTAATCTGTTTTTATAAAAAAACTTGTTTCAGAGTAAATTCATCAAAGAACTCAGATTTATATGCAACTCAGTTTCACATTTTTGTGAAATTTTTTAGATTTATTTTAATTTTATGTATGAGTGTTTTGCCTGTATGTATGAAAGTGTACCTGTGTCATACAATGCCTGTGGAGGCCAGAAGAGGGCATCTGATCCCCTGGTACGGGAGTTATGGACAGCTGTTAGCCTCCATATGGGTGCTGGGACTCAAACCCAAGTTCTCTGCAAAAGCAGCCAGTGCTTTTAACTGCTGAGCCATCTCTCCAGCCCTAGCTTCATATTTTTGAACAATGCATAAGACAAACACATTTTTTATAAGCATGATTAGAAACTGCTTGTTCTCCAAGAATCACTTAAATCAAGGTATGGAAAACATTTCTTATAAAGGGCCCAATACTTAAAAAGTTTAAGTTTTAAAGTGCCAAACAGGAGAAACCTTCCTTTGAGCTGTTGGCCAGGGAAGTCTAAGAGACTCCCAAAATTACACAGGTTACTGCCACAGTCCTTGATTGCCTCCCAGAACTTGATGGTAAGGCCCTATTGCTGAAGACAGGACATACATCGGACACAGGATTTGGAATGGAGCTGGAACTGACCTGGAAGTCACTTCCCCTGAAGGCTAGCTCTCATAGCTTTGGAGAGCACTACACAAGCTGGTATCAATCAATGGTCCAATCCCAGCTTCAAGGCCTAAAAACCACATCAATGACCAGCACAGCAAACAACACTGGTGCAGTAGTGGCACTTTTATCTTAGGGGTAATCATCAGCTACCTAATTGGACTTAAAGCCCACTCAATGGGAGGAAACTCATGTGTGGTACTGTAAACCTAGCCAAATACACATAGCTGGAGAGGTCACAGATCTTAAAGAAAACCCAAGGTCCTCATATCCCTAGACAAATGTAATCTCTTACTATGTATAAACTATGAATCCTTAAATTTACAGACAAGTATCCCAGTCACCACCCATCAAAATAGCTTCTTTTTCAACAGTCAGAGATTACTACTGAGTTACACCACTGGTCACACACAGAGATTCTGTGAATTTCCCAAACCTAAGTGGCACATTTAAGGCTCAGGGAACATAGAACAAAGGATAAAGAAAACACTAATGCATCTTTCAGTTCTCATCAATGAAGCAACAGAGGGCCAGGAACACAAAAGGCCACAAATGGCCAAAACACAGAGAAAAAGAGTTGATAGAGTGTGGGTCCTTGGACAGATCTCCTATATTGAGGTCCACCCACCCAGTGCTCAGGGACCACTGTGGAAGAGAAGGTGGAAAGATTATAGGAGCCAGGGACGAGGTACATGATCACAGGGAAATGGTCCTACAGGTACCTGGGACCCTTCTTATACAAACCTACAGCAATGGTGTCAGCATGCACAAGACCCATGCAAACTTAGGCAGACAAAAACCCAGCACAGAACTATGAACAGCAAGGCCCAGTCTTAGTTGGAGAATTATTGGCAGCTGATTACTGTTGGGTGAGGAAGAGCTGATCTGAGAGAAGAGAGAGAGACTCTCTAGAAAGGCTGACTAAACCCTGGTGGATAAACTTGCACTGAGGGACATCTTGGGACACTAACTTTACATAATAGGCCTTAAAACAAATGACAGAACATATGAACTCCAGTGGGAGTGCTTTGGGAGGGTGCTGAAGGGGAAGGGGGAAGAGGGTATAAAGATGATTTTATATATGAAAAAAATTCAATAAATTTATTTTTAAAAAGTTTAAGTTTTGTGGGTAATATAATTCCTGGGACAACCAGTGAATTCTGCCCTTGTAGCCTAAAAGCAGGTTTACATAATACATAATGAATAAACAAGTTTACCTTCCAATAATACTTTAATTTACAAAAACAGGTGATACATAAGATTTTACTCATAGACTAGTATGTGGAATCCCTGATGTAGAGAAAGACACCAAAGTCATTGTAGGCAGCATAAAAACAATTATCGGGTCACACAGTCAGAATAGGTGAAAGGCACCATATCTCTGATGGTAGCAGCATGCTGGAGTGTGGGAAAGTTCGTGGAAAGCTAATTCCTGAGGCACAACAGTATTTTCTTTGAGGAATGACACTTTTATAATTAGTCAAGTAGAATATATAATTTTATAGGATTTCAAAACCATTCTACAAAAGAGATATAGTAATTATGGAAAGTGTAAATTACAGGTTCTTAAACGTAAACTGGTTATCTGTCTTGAGGTAAAAGATTACTGTGAAAGCCCACAGTTCATTGTCCATGAGGCCTCCTACATATAAAAACATATATTATGCAATACATGGAAATTCAGCAAACAAAATCTAGGTATAAAATTACTATACTCAAATTATAAGAAAAACCTTGGCATCGCAGAGTGAAATTTGTTGTTAAATATCTTACTCCTAAAAGAATCTAGGATAGCACTTCACATGAGGGACTCAATATGCACATATTTTTTTCTGAACAAATAAGTGATCAAATTCCAAGACCTCAAAAAGAGTACAATACATTTAAAATACAGCAAATGAAAAGAAAGCTGGTATCTGCTCTTATATGACAATGATCTATAAACCCAAAGGGTAATGACAGAATGCCACGCAGCAAAAGTAATTGAAATCCATGGAAGAAGCAAAGGATAGTCCCAAGAAAACAACGTAAAACCCTCAGCAAATAACGTGAACAACATCCCTCAAAGGGGTGATGTGCACTAATCAAACAGACTGCATCCTAGGATGTGGCAGCCTCAGAAGACACTAGCTCTGTGAACACGATTGTATCACGTAGTCCAGAGCTAGCTGCTTTCACTGGAAAATCTGACATGCTCCCTGTGGCTTGACAGATGTACAATATGGCCATTTTGATCTCTAGCCCTCATGCTAGTCTACTAGGACTTTTCTCTGTTTCACTCCCCTTTTCTTTCCAAAAGTCAGTGCAGTGGTATAACAGAAAACAAGTTTTGTGCTTTGAGGAGGAAAGAAGGAAGACACACTAAGAAATTCAAGTTTGTCTGCCATTGAACAAAGGGCATGCTCGTGATGAAGAATTAAGACCAGGACAGATACTGTAGAGACGTCAGTTACTTACTAAGTTGGGATGTAGACCTGTTTCAGCTTGCTCTCTGCTTCTGCTGCTTTTAGGCGTTTCTAATTCAAACGATGGATAAAACATTTTACAAGAAATGCTTACTAATTATTAATACTTCATTCCCTTAAAATCACAAGAAAATAAATGATACAGCACAATGCAATTGCTATCTATGATTCTTTCATATACACATTCAACTCCAGTAACTTATAAGAAAAGCCATTAGCTTCTACACCACAGAATTGTGAGGATGGATACAATTTTAGAAATAAGATTCTTTTAAATAAGGCAATGAAAAGCTCTACTTCCCAGTCTTTTGTTAGTAAATTACAAAATGACTTCTCTGTTTTGTTTTGTTTTTTGAGGCAGAATTTCCCTGTAGCCTCAACTGGCCTGGAACTCATTTTGTAGGCCAGGCTGGCCTCAGTCTCACAGAGATCACTTGTCTCTGCCTCCCAGTGCTGGGATTAAAGGCATGCACTACTGTGTCTGGCCTAAAAAGGACTTTTCTCATATGTGCATACAGGGGTTGAACCCAGGACTTTACATATGCTAAGCACATATTCTACCACTGAGCTTTGCTTCCAGGCCCCAAAGGACATTTAAAATAGTCATTTTTACTTTGGCAAATTTAGTTCCTATTTTAGTTCTTATTTGTACTTCTAGAAGAAAACACACATAGACACAAATAAAAGTTTAAAAAAACTTTGCTTTTAGAAAAATATTCAGAGATAGTTTACAAAAGGGATGTAGGAGAAAGTGACTATGTCTACTCTAAATAGAATTAAATAAGACTTATTTATGCTCAAATAATGGACAATATGCAGTAACTCTGTTTGTCAATCAGTTGGCTCTGAGACAGGTGCTATGTAGCTGAGGCTGACCTGGAGCTCACTATGTTGTTCAGGCTTGCCTCAAACTCCCGAGTGCAGGGATTAGAGAGGTGTACCCTGCACCTGGCTCCATAGTAACTTTAAATCCTGGCTGAACTCACATAAGGTTGTACTGAAACCAACCATTAGCCAAATGCAGGGAAAGGAATGGGATCTAGATCATCAGATCTAGACCCTGATGAGCACAATAATGAATGCAAATAGGTAAAAAAAATAAAATAAAAGTCACTGTCCCAAAAGAGGCAAACTATATTATAAACCTATCCTCCATTTGTCCAAGCAAATGAAAATAAAAATATTTAGGGGACAATCTGAAGCTTAGAATGGAGCTGATAGTTTTGGCAATAATTTTTTTTCAAACACTTTTTTCGTGCCACGTCTGGGCCTTTTTTAGGGACACCTGATTTGAGCAGCACAGCTTTCCAGGCTACATGGCCTTCACTGCTAGCCAAGTTGTTGACAATATGTACTTTCTGAATTACATACGGTGTTGACACTGGAAGTCGTTCACCAGCAGATTTCTATTCACTATTCAAGACTGCAGCAACTCACGGCACTTTTAAGAGTGATCCTTAAAATGTATTTGTATAGCACCAGTACCTGCCACTGGATAGCCTATGTACTTAGGCTAAATACTGTTTTTAATCTATTTGCTTTTCTTCACCAGTTCATGTGACTGTAAGAATTTAAAACAGTATCCACAAAGGTCATTTCAGGAATATATATGTTTCCCCCAGAAGTACTATTTTTCAAGATAAATAATTGAGAGCTACTTGAATTGAACTTAGGACATTTGGGAAGGACTCGACTCCAAAGTTAAATGATTCCCTACTTTTAAATGACTTTGGAGAGAATCTTGGTACAAGAAGAAAACATTAAACTTGTAAAACTAACACTACTACAACTGGGCTTGGTGGCACACACTTCCAATCCCAGCATTCCATTCAGGCAGAAGGAATTTCCAGTTTAAGGATAGCCTGAGGTGGCTAGTGAGGCCTGTCTCAAAATAATAACCTATTACAATTAAGGTCAAAAGCTCAGGAAAGGACTGGTCATGCAGCTGAGTGGTAGAGTGCCTGCCTGCCAACTACATGCAAGGCCCTACAATCTGGAGACAGGACACCACATGGAAAATCTAGAACTCAGGGAACAGATCCACAAAAATGTCACGTAAGGAGATTTCAGAAAATCTTTAAAAGTATCTTAAATTATAGGACTGATGGCACCAGTCTCAATGATCAATTCCTCATAAAAACATATCGTTCAAGGAGTTTGTGGCAATGCCATATTTCTAGTAAATCCCATCTGTTACAAAGGGGTGAAACATCAGTCACACACTAGAGGAACAATGCCTCCCTAGACACAGCTTTCCCTGCCATCTTTCTCAGATATACATGACAATGAATGTTGAAGACAGTGAAATATTAAAATGAAAACCCTTTTTAAGAAAGTCCTAAAGAGGGGCTGGGGCGATGGCTCAGTGGTTAAGAGCACTGGCTGCTCTTGCAGAGGACTGGGGTTTGAATCCCAGCACCCACATGGTGACTAACCGTCTGTAACTCCAGTTCCAGGGGATCCCACACCCTTGTCTGACCTCCTAGAGGACTGGGGTTTGAATCCCAGCACCCACATGGTGACTAACCGTCTGTATCTCCAGTTCCAGGGGATCCCACACCCTTGTCTGACCTTCTCGGGCATTGCACAACATGGGTGCACTTACATACATGCAAGCAATACACTCATACATATAAACAAAATAAAATCTTTTTTAAAAGTCCTAAAGACATGAAATCATAGAATGAAAAATAATCTAGAAAAAACAAATTTAAAATTAACACATTGCCAACAAATACTGAAATATAAACAAAGTTCGCTCTAATACAATTGTGCTAGTAGCAATGTGAAAACTTACCTGCTGCACGTATCTGTCAGTAGTCTTCCACATGTAATAGTATTCAATGATGCTAGTCAAGGACTTCCATGGGAGCTGAAAAAATATCGAATGTGGTAATAATTAAAACAATCTAATGTCAAAGCACTTTCCTTAAAACCACTTCTTTAAAATGAGGCAAATATATGTAGTTCAGATTCATTCTAGAAAAAAATCTTTTGAAAAAACTGAAATTCTTAGTAAATGGTGCCCAAAACAAGTTATATTTAGTAACAGAACCCAATACAATGCATTTCATTTCTCACCAATTTTATTAAAACAACATTTATAAACAACATCACTGAGAATACTTCCTGACTTACTCCACAAAGTTCTCAGCCCTCTGCAGTAGTGACAGGTGGGACCAAAGCACAATTTTATTTATTTATTTATTCACCTATTTAATTAATTTATGCACTCATGCAGTTCTGGGGATTAACCCAGGGCCTTTCAAACTGTACCAGGCCACTGCCCTACCTCTGAACTATATTCCCAAGCTCTGCAGCACAAGTTTAGAAGTCTTCCTTCCTTCTTTTCCTTTCTTTTTTTAAAAATTCTTATTATTTTTATTTTATGTGTATGAGTATGTTGACTGCATGTATGTGAGTGCACCTGGGTCCTCTGCAAGAGTAGTCAGTACTCTTAACTGCTGAGCCATCTCTCCATCCCCTTTTTTGGTAATTTTTGGGACAAGGTCTCACTGTATAGTACTGGCTGGCCTAGAATTCTCTACATAGACTAGGCTGGCCTTAAACTCACAGAGATTCACCTACCTTTGCCTCCTGAAGGTAGTAGTTAAAGATGTGGCCACCACAGCTGGCCACTTTAATTTTTTTTTTAGATTTATCTTATTTTTAAACAGTGTGTATGTGCATGCTAGTGCCTCTGTGATAGGTGTCAGATCCCCCTGAAGCTGGAGTTACAGGCAGTTGGAGGCTGTTTGATGTAGGTGCTGGGAACTGAACCCAGGGCCTCTGCTAGAGCAGCAAGTGCTCTTAAACACTGAGTGATCTGTCTAGCCCATAAACACTCTATTTTGTTTATTATAAATAAAATAATAAAGCTACATCTCTGGAAAAAGTAGATAGCCAAGTGTGCTTCCTATTTAATAAGCTTGCCTTTGCTGCTTTAGAAATATTCAAAACTGGCCAACTCACAAGACCTACAACCAGACACTCTACTCATTATATCTCTCTGTAGATGAAATTCTATTAATTATCCAAGATGAAATGAGGGCAGGTTGGATTTCATGATGATGGGAAGGGCTGATAAGACAGTCTTCAGCTGTGGCAGATTTTGCAAAAGGTAAGAGCCCTCCAACTTCATCAAAATGCCCATCCTAACATAAGGACCAGCCAGTTAAAGCAGCACTTCCTGGACTTCTTGCAGCCCCTCTGGGGCTGCTTGTGACCCACCTGGACAACATCCATGCCATGGTATAGCTTCCACATTTAATTTACTTACTGTTTGTTCTGAAGAGAAAACAGAAGAATTTCAGAAAAAGAAAGTATCTTAAACTGATTCAGGTGGCAGTTTAAAGAGTAGTTACAAATGTGGTTTTCTTATAGGCCATGGGCATAGCCACTAGCTCTGAACTGCAGCTAAAGCAAATAACTATATAGGTTTTTTGCCTTTTTATTTTGGTTTTTTAAACCCAATGCATCCATCTAATGGGGTCAAGTATCTGATAGTTAAGAAGTCTTCAGCAGGGCCTCATAGGGAAGTCACAGCATGGTTTCTGAGTAAGCTAAGAGTTCTTATTGTCTTCTGTCTTTGAGAAATAAGAACCTGATAGGAAACCGATAGATTTTGCCTGGAAACCTGAGAGAAGGAAGCCAAGTGACCATGTAAGCCGAGCTTCTTCATCAACTATATTTTATCTAATTCACAAAGCCCTAACTGGCCTTTCACCAAGTACAGTGGCAGTCCATGAAGATCACACTGGAATAATCAATGTGTCTATTCCTGAGGTAGCACCACTTCTCCCTCAACCTTCCCTTACGATTTCAGGAGCACTCCCTGTGACACACATCCAACAAAGAGGGAAAAATGTGACTGTGACAGATGGCTTGCACAGGATGCCAGCACCTACCAGAATTATACTGCTGCAACCATTACAACTCCATGCAGCAGTGACCAGGAAGCACAGTAAGAAACATTAAGGTCACCATCTGGTTTTGGATCTTTGAATTATCAGCAAAACTACTCCAAAAAGCAGAGCATGGTGGTACATGCCTATAATTCCAACATTTAGGATGTTCAGGCAGACGAATCTCAAGTTTGACGTCAGCTTGGATTACATGAGACTTTGTCTCAAAGAACAAAAAGAAGAATCTGAAGTCTGTGGTTTGGGTCACAGTATAATTGGCTAAACACCCAAGAAATAGCTAAAAGCAACCAAGCCAGATGGCACACACCTTTAATCCCATTACTCAGGAGGCAGAGACAGGCAGATCTCTTTGAGATCCAGGACAGCTGGGGCTACAGGGAGACCTTATCTCAAAGGAAAAAAAGTTGGGCATGGTGGTGCTCACCTTTGGTTTAGTCGCCTGTGCTCACCCTCTGAGGACAGGAGAGCTGCACTTGAAAATGGAGTAACAGGTAGGAGCTATGGAAATGAAGCTCAGTGGTGATAAAAGGATAAGGTTTCCCCTGGATACCACAGAAGGTTTCCATGGGAGGATGTGATGGGCTTGTTTGAATAATCCTGCAAGCTAACCAGGTACTGAAAGACTACAGTGCTAGGAGAGCTAGCCAGATAGGGAGGCTTTCCTGCTGGGTGGGGGAAATAGCTAGCAAAAGCAGGGAAATTCAGGTCCTAGAGGCCCCAGGAGACACAAAGATGCTAAGACAACACACATATATACCAGTGCACTAATAACTTGAACAATAGCCCCAATCCTAGAATAATTTAGTGACTAGAGAGAACCAACCTTTCCACCCCTCAAAGGTCTGAGAACAGACATGCTCATTTCAGCATATATTTAAACTTGGTCTGTTAGTGTTTGCACAAGATAACTCTAATAAAAAAAAAATACAAGACACACAAAAAGGCTAGAAAATAAATGACTAATTGTCAAGGAATCAACATATAGACCTTGAAACTAACCCAGCCCTAAATGGGAGAAGAATCAAATAAAAAATTTAAGGTAATAAATATAGCACATTCTTTTATGGGAGTGAGGTATTGGGGATCAAACCCAGAACCTTGAGTATGCTAGACATGAGCTATATCCCTGTGAGCTACATCCCTGTCCCCTAATATGACTTTGAAGATGCCAGTTGAAAAGGTAGAGAGTGCTGGGCTGGGTGTGGTAGCGCACATCTTTAATCCGAGCCCTTGGGAGGCAGAGGCAGGTGGATCTCTGTGAGTCCAAGGCCAGCCTGGTCTATATAGTGAGTTCCAGGCCAGCTGGGACCACCGCGAGACCCTGTCGTCAAAAAAAATAAATAAATAAAATAAGAAAGAAAGAAAAGAAAAAGAAAAGGTGGAGAGCACGTGGGATTAGTAGGACATTTCAGCAGAGGTAAAAAGATTGGGGTTGAGCTAACACGCAGCTCTTGACACATGGATTCGGTGGACTGTATTCTACAGACTCAAAGTGTATCTCAGTGACCGCTAAGGCTGTGTGTCATCGTAATAGAAAGACTGTCTAGCCTGTCTGGAAGCCACTGGCTTGGGCAATAGGGCCTTGTCCTGCCAGACTGGGAGCAGCAGATGCTAGGTGGGTCCTGAAGGCTAAGAACCAGGGCATTGCAACCACTGGGGGCACAGTTTCCAGACTGGTGAAGCTGAGTTACTGAGGTCAGCCTGCCAAGCATTCAGCCCTCTGTTCCCATGGCTTCAGGCCTGGTATTCTGTGCCATGACCTAGGCAGTGTTGGGGTGTTGCGGTCTTTGCCTTTTGAGCTATGTTTAGTGACATTTAAAAAAAAAATATTTCATGGCCGGGCATGGTGGTGCACACCTTTATTCCCAGCACTCAGGAGGCAGAGGCAGGCTGATCTCTTGTGAGTTCAAGGCCAACCTGGTCTATAAAGTGAGTTTCAGGCCAGCTGGTGCTACAAGGAGACCCTGACTCAAAAAGAGCCTATTGCCCGCATGTGTATATGAGCCTATTGCCTGCATGTGTGTAAGTGCACCCATGTCATACACTACCAGAGGTGGCCAGAAGACGGCATCAGATCCCCTGGAACTGGAGTTACAGGGACAACTGTTAGCCACCAGATGGGTGCTAAGAATCGAACCCGGGTCCTCTGCAAAAGCATCCAGTACTCTTACTGCTGAGCCATCTCTCCAGCCCCATGTTTAGTGGCATTTTTACACCAAATCTAAAACCCAAGCTTGTAGTTCTCTCTGGAAGAGATGTCTAGGTTGAAAGAAATAGGTTTCAAATCAGGCTTCAGTACTGATCTTCAGTGAAGCCTTGAAATTCACCAAAATGACAACACAAAGGGACAGAGGAGAGACACCCAATATACATTCTCTATGCCTTTTAGAAATCATGGAGTTGTTTCTTTGTCCACATATATGTAAATCTACCAGAAGGGTGACACTGTGGACATCAAGGGATTGGGTGCTGTTCAAACAGGAACACTCAGCCAGGTGGCACACACCTTTAATCCCCTCAAGGCAGGCAGGAATGGGTGGATCTCTGTGAGATCAAGGCCAGCCTGGTCTACATAACAAATTTCAGGCCAGCTGTAGCTACAGGGAGACCCTGTTTCAACAAAACAAAACAACAAAAAGGAACGCTCTATAAATGTTGCCATGGTGAAACCAGAAGTGTTGACAATGTTGCCCAGCTGAGTGTGGTGGCACACCTCTAAATCCCAGAACTCAGGAGGCAGAAGCAGATAGATCTCTGTGTTTGAGGCCAGCCTGATTTACATAGCAAGTATCAGGCTGGGCAATGGTTACATAGTGAAATCTACCAGACTTTAAAATAGGGAAAAGATTTGAATAAGTATTTTCACATCAAAGACTTAGGATGCCAATGAGACACATAAAGATGCTCAGTATCAGCTGGGTGTGGTATACACAGCTCTAATCCCAGA